ACTGAATTTTGTAAGGGTGCATATGTAAATCTTTCTTCAAAATCCGTTGTAACGATGTCCTGGATACGTTTAATGCTCTGGCGCGCTTACGAGTTGACTGTGTCGGATTTTCGCGAATAGACTGTGTCTATGTTTTGTTCCGTACGTGACGTCCTTGGGCAACCCAACCGCGGTTTATCTAACGTCGAACCGGTCTCCTCGAACTTAGCAACCCAGTTCTTAATCGTTTGAAGAGTTGGAGTGTCGTCAAAGTTGTGTAAACCTTTGTGTTCTCGAAATTTACGCCGCGCAACGGTTGCCGAATTGTCGTTTTTATAAAACTCGCGCACACAAAACGCACGGTCTGCTCCGGTAAAACGCTCCATCGCGACTACATTCCCAGAAACCGAAGTTACTTCCCCCGCTTCCCCTGCACCGCTCACGCGCGCCCTGTTCGTTTTATTCAAATTTTACTTTTCAAAGGACTTATGGGCCACCCTGTACTTATGTACGGTTCACGGCCTCAAAATACTAGCAATACAAGATAGGTTAGAAATTAATCTAGAACTAGATGAAACGTTTTAAGATGTGTTCGTGATGTCGCAGCTGTGGGAGCAGCAGAAGGCGATGGAGGAGGCGGCGCTGAGGGAGGCGCGCGAGGCGCGGGAGGCGCGGGAGGCTCGCGAGCGGCACGAGCGCGGCGAGCTGATGCGTAAGAAGGACAAGCAAGAGCACAGCGCAAATGCCTCCACGCAGGTCAAGCAGAAGCTGCAGGTGAGCAATGCGCAGTACACCGCGCAATACACTACACTTGCCGCCACTAGGTAACAGCTCAACAAGTCATAGTACTCCGATACTCTACGATATTCTTGCCATTCGTTTGCAATTTTAACAGGATGCAGCGTTAATATAACCTAACCCAATAGTTTACATCTACTCCTACCCATTGTAATGACACAATAGCTGAAACAAAATTACTGTATTTTTTTCTCTATGGTACAATTATTTTTTTACTTTATTTCAGGAGTTCCTTAAGAAGAAAGCTGCGGCGAATGCAAATGGAACAGTACCCGGTTCACCTTATAGAAATTGGTAAGTTTTACTGACACGTACACCGCACCGAGTACGTGTAACCATCTCAACATGATGTTATCATCCCCCTTGTTTAGACGTATTGTTGTCTTTTTCATATTCAATGATGATTGACAGTATTGGATATGTGTTACTAGGGGTATCGTAAAGTCATCGTCAGGAGAATCTATAACGTCTACGGGCGCGACGGCGACCGCGCACCCGTACCGGCTGGCGGCGCCGCCCGCGCTGACGCTCAACACGGCGCCCCCGCAGCCCTCGCCCTCCGACTACCCGCTGCGGAAGACCGGTGAGTGCACCCACCGCGCTACTTCTTGTGTGCTCTTTGTGTCGTACTTGTTGACATCTCATACCAAACTAACAATTATCAAATTTTATTTTCTGATTATAATTTCCTTATTATTTTAACGATTTTTACTAGAAGTTTATCAACAATAGAACAGACATGTTATCAATTATGTATCATGATTTATACCAAAAAAATTAAACTATAAATATTTGAATTAGTCACGCATCAAAAGTAAAATACAGTATTTAGATAAATTATTTTTATGCAATCTGTTGGATAAAGAAATACTTTGTATATTAGATTTTCTTATTTATAAAAACTGCATCCAAACTTAACAAAATACTAAAATGTAATATAGTTGTTGTGTGATGTGCGTGTGTGATCATGTAACCAAGTGTGAGTTAGAGCGCCGCGCGAGCCGCGACCACCCCGCCACCACCCCGCCACCACCCCGCCGACACCCCGCCGCCTAGCGCATTATCAACTAGTGATTCATTACATACAAAATACCTAAGAAGCTCGAGTTGTTTACACTACAACACTGAGGGGAGGAATACCACTAGAAGGGGTAGGCGTGGGTGATGTGTGGTCGCGGGTCGCGGGTCGCGGCAGGCAGTAACCGCATGCGCGTGCACTAACAGCGTCGGAGCCCAACATGCTGAAGGTGCGGCTGAAGGCGCGCGTCATCGAGCGCCGCGCATCCCCGCTCGCGCGCCGCCCCCTCAAGACCAGGGTCAAGCACCGCAGTGAGTACACACATACATCTGCCCCTCGCCCATCACCGCGCGGAAATCAAACACGTAAAAATATAAAACGAAATTCTGTTTTTAAAATACCTATGACGCTTTTACTTAAGGATTTACTAATAAAATGTGTGATCGTGATGTGTTTGTGATACAGACTGCGAGGGCGGCTCCCCGCGCAACTCCCCGCCCGGCGCCACCGCCCCCATCCGCGAGGAGGAGGAGGCGTGCTCGCGCGCCGCCGAGCTGCTCTTCTCCTCGCCCTCGCTCCCCAACATCTCGCTGGGCCGCCCGCACGCGCACGCCCACGCGCACGCGCACGTGCCGCACGCCCACCATGCGTCGCACGCACCGCACGCGTCTCACGCGCCCCATGCGCCCCACGCGCCCGCAGCCGCCAATGTGTGTCCACCTTCTATGTCTTCTGGATTTTTGCTGGTGGCAGAGAAAAGGAATACAACGTCGTGCGTTATCTCAGGTGCCGGTGGCGTTGCCGCCCGTATCGGAGGCGGAGGCGTACTGTCCGGGCGTGCTGGCGGCCGCCGGAGGGCTCGGCGTGAGCGCGCGCCTGGCCAAGCGGCCGCTGGGGCGCACGCACTCCGCGCCGCTGCCGCTCGGCGACCCGGCGCTGCAGCCGCCCAGTGCACACCATTACCTCAGAGATCAGATACGGAAGACTGTGAGCATTTTATAACAGTATACTTTTCTAATACAATGTAGATTGTTACATCGTTGTGGTGCACGGTGCAGGTGCTGACGCGCGCGCACGACGCGGCGGCGGCGCAGCTGCGCGAGGAGGAGGGCGAGGTGATCGACCTGACAGCGCGGCGCGCGGCGCCCGTCACCAGCTCGCCCTCGGCGCCCCACGTGGGCGCGGCGGGGGTCGTGGCGGAG